ATATATATATATATATATATATATATACATCTATTATATATAATAACGTGGGTGTTGTACTGAGAGGACCCGCGTTGGCTGGTCGCATGAACGAGTGCGCGACCAAACACGTATAAAACGCCGTGACAAGTAATTGACTGTGATTTTAATCGATGACGATTTATTATTTATTAACAGTAACGTCCTTATATACCTCCGCGCGCGCGCACGTTTTAAATATTAAATCATCGAGCACGCAGGATCGGTCTGCGTTGTTGCGTAGGCAAGGCAACAGGTAACAGAGCATACCGTATAACTAGCTGCACGTCGTGTGATAACAAGTTGATTATATCTACGAGTGAATTAGGGTTTCTTCACACACGAGGTTTGCCTCGGGGTAATTTTTTTTGCTGGTATTAGTTGAACATGGCACAAGTTATTAGTTCCGCGATACGGATGTGCGCAGAGTGTAAACTGCTATTCGGTACTACGCGGACACACACACACACGCACGTGTTATAGAAACCATACATAATAAACACACGCAATTATTAACAGGCGAAAAATAACTTAATTTACGTCAATCTCCTCGTCGTCATCGTCATCGTCATCGTCATCGCCATCGCCATCGCCATCGTCGTCGTCGTCATCGTCGTCGTCCTCGTCTTCGCTCAGATCAGTCTCGACCGGAAGCTGCGTATGCGACATCATATCCGTCACGCTTTCCGGCTGGTCGTCGGCAACGACTTCCGGTTCGTCGTCGCGCCGTCTCGTCGTCGGCGTCGGCGGCGAGCCGGCCTGACCGACGCTCGACGTCACGGCCTCGAGTTCAGTTCGTCTGACGTGATCGAACGCGACGTCGGCCGTGTCGGCGCGATCGTACGCGTCGTCGGCGGCCGGCAGCGTCTCCTGGCGTTGCCGTATGACGAAGCCGACGGGCTGCGTGACGGGATGTAGCGGATACATGCCGAGGCCGAACGGGTTGGCGGACTTGCACGCCTGCACGCGCGGGTACTTCGAGTTCGGTCGACGGCCGCGCGGAACTTTCGGCGTCGCTAGAATGTTAGCTATGCTGAACGGACTGTTTCGCAGCGGATGCTCTTCGACGACGACGCCTCCGCCGACCGTCGCCACGCGCCGCGCCTCGCCGCCGCCAGGGGCGTCCGAGTCGGACGAGCTGACGCGCGCGCCCGACGACGCGTCGGCGTGGCTGCTCTGACTGTCGCAGTCGCTGCTCACGTGGCCCGGCGACGTTTTCCCGTCGCCTTTTGCGTGCTTGGCGGCGCGGTCGGCCGCCTTCTGACGCTTCTTTTCGGCGCGTTCCTTCTGCCGTCGCTCCATCTCGGTGGCGTCGATAGGGTCGCCGCTACACGTCGACGGGTGTGCGTTATGCGCGGGTCGGCCCGGTCCCTTGCGAGTGTTCTCCTTCTTCCGCCATTTTGCGCGTCGATTTTGAAACCAGACCTGTGGATAGCAGACCAGAGAGGGTATCGATTAGTGTTCGATATATAGTTTATCGACTCCGCGCCGATTTTGAAACCAGATCTGCGGTCGGAAGACGAGACGGGTATCGATTACTGTTCGATATATAGTTTATCGATTCCGCGCCGATTTTGAAACCAGACCTGCGGTCGGAAGACGAGACGAGAGACTGGTATCGATTAGTGTTCGATTTAGTTTTACCGATTGCGGGATTGATTGGTGCGGATGCGAGAAGGGTTTTACGAACAGGATGAGTATTAGTCGGGAATTTGAAGTGGAATAGAGAGCAATGGTGAGCGGCGGGTTATCGTTGGCGGCCATTTGCAAAAAATAAGGATCGACAGAAATTCTACGATACTCGCTATAACATGTAATTTTATAATGACGTCGAAAATCTCTCTTTGTGTGTTTATTATGATTGACACTCGTGCACTGCCGCCATAAAGGATTTTTATGTGCGTATATGATAATATAATGATTAAACTCGTAATTTTGATAAATAAATAAATAAATATATATATATATATATAATATATATGTGAGTATATATATATATATATACGCCGTTTATTAATTTATTTTGTACGCGTAATAACTCGATTCACATCAGTACACGTATTCTGCTATTATGGCATTGAACCTTAAATAATAAATCGGTTTCTAACAAATTAAATGCACTTAAAATTGTGCTCATGCAATGATACAATAATCGATATTTTCTGACAATGTAAACGGAAACCATACAGCAGGCTGGAAATAAAGTGAATCAATCCAGACTATGAGCAGGAAACCATAGAACTGCGAGGCGCTAACGTTTCGTAATAAAATATTCAGTATACGGTAGTTCTCCAGTGTTCTATTCATATACGTGCATGCATACACATGCATAATGATATTATATAGGCTCCATTGTGGCGGCGGACACACACACGCGCACACACGCGAGCGCACGCACGCACACGCACACGCGCGCACATACGCGCGCACATACGCGCGCACATACGCGCGCGCACGCGCACGCGCACACACGCGCGCGCACACACACACACACACACGCACACACACACACACACACACACACACAACAAATATTATATATATTATCCTTCCCAATATATATTATATTAATATATAATTACCATATATATATTGATATATACTACCTATATAGATATATTTATAATATATAACATATACCTTATAATAATATATATATATTATATTATATAAGACCTTATATATATAGTATTAAATATCTCCTATATATTATAAATTATGGATATTAAGGAGCAAGAGTTTTACGGCCCTGCCGCGGCGCACCACGCAGCGTTTCCCTGTCTTCGTTTCCAGGGAGAAGACACTGCCATTGAAAACCCGGGCGTAGTTTCGACAGGTCACCGTCAACCGACAAGGGTTCCTCTTCGCCACGGACTCTATTCATGGGCGTTGACAGCTGTGTAGTGGCCGAGGAAACACGGAGCGCAGAGTCTTGGCTGTGTGTGTGTGTTGCCAGTCTTGTGTGTGTGCTCCGATGTGTGTGTGTGCGCGTCAAGACAGTGTCGTGTGTCCAAATACCGGCAATCTTAGGTGGAGAGAACCTGACAACAGCCCAGATCTTGCCAAAATGCTGGAATCGTATGTAGTATGATATATATATATACTATATATACTTGTACTAATATATTATATATATATATACAGCGTCAGTCTACAAACGGCAAACATATCGTTGTCTGGCGCCCATGCACTATTGCAGCATAACGAGTGCATCGAAAACGCTTCCTGTCGCGCGGCGGGCACATTGAAATGCTCAAATAATCGCGCGTCAATAAAACCGTTTACCGCGCAAAGAAAACCTTCAAATTTTCATTAGCTCTTTATTTTGCCAGCGTCGCCGTCGCATAACGAAATGAACGCGAGCGTCGGCTGCAATCAAGCAGCGATCAATCGCGCAGACGCGCGCCGTGAATGGCTGGCGGGCCGCGCGGGCGCGAGCGCCATTGTGGCGGCGGTAATCGTCACTATGTAAACTTTAATGAAATCTATTTAACATCTTTTAACTAAATATCGAGTTACCATTGTGGCCGCGGTTGCTGTGTTGTGCCGGCACCGTGCCAACACCGCAGTGTGAGTGTGTGTGTTGGTTGTGCGTGTATGTGTGTGAGAGAGAGAGAGAGAGAGAGAGAGAGAGAGAGAGAGAGAGAGCGAGAGAAAGAGAGAGAGAGAGCGCGAGAG